TCAAGTTCTCCAGGAATTATAGGTAGACTAGGTGAAGAATTTCAAATGTAATATGAAGAGAAAATTTTGCAAATACTCCAAATCATGTAGCACCTGCACAGAGAGAAACAAAGTTAAATGTTACGTCATTTGAATTGAATTAGGTAAAGCAAGTACAGGGATCGGGAGGAAAGAATGAAAGGGAAGTTTTATGATAGGGGTGCAAGATGGGACTGATTATGTGATTTGAAAGTGTAATGGTACAAGGCACAATGAATTGATGGGATAACTAAAAGACCAAAAGGTGAGCCTCGTAGAAGTGTAACTGGGAAGAGCAGAATTGTAACCAACAACAGTTATCCAACCAAAATAGGCAGTGGTTATGATCTGAAATTACTGAAGCTTCTGCAGAGCTTCCTTTGGCAAGTGTACAATGTCAAGAAAGAGATTACAACAGGTTACAGAAGTACAATGACATGACTGGAAGCTTGAAGTCAATTGAAAACAGGGATTCTACAAAGTCATCATCCAATTTGTATTTGGTCTCCGCAGTGTAGAAGAGATCACATCATGAGCAGTGATTTCAATATACTAAATTTGAAAATACAAGTAAATCACGCCTTGCCTGGAAATGAAGTGTTTGGGCACTGAGGTGGGAAGGGAGGATTTAAGAATATATAAGTCAGGATTAAGAGTACATCATTCAGCCCCTTAAGCCTACTCTGTTTTTCAAGAAGATCATGGGTGATCTGATTGTAACTTAAAATCTGTTTTGCTTACTATCCCTAACGACCTTTCAGCTCCTTGCTTAATGAGAATCTATCTACCCCTTCCTTAAAAATATTCAAGTACTCTGTTTCCACTACCTTTTCAGGAAGAGAATTCCAAAGATATTCAACCTTCTGAGAAAGAGAATTTCACTCATCTGTTTCACAAGTGCAACCCCTGTTTTTTTTAAACAGTAATCCCTAGTTTTAGATCCTCCAATAAGAGAAACATCCTCTCCTGCCAAGACCTCTCAGGATTTTGTATATTTCAATTAAGTTGCCTCTTACTCTTCTGAACAACTCCAGCAGATATAAGCAAAGCCTGTCCTATCTTTTCTGAACTGCCTCCAACACATAAATAAGGTCATCAATACTGCGCACAGTACTCAGATGCTGTTTAACCAGTGTCCTGTATAAGTGAAGCATAACTTCTCTACTTTTGAACTCAATTCTCCCTCAATAAATGTTAACATTCTATTAGCTTTCATAATTAGTAATGTGTCTGCATACTAACCTTCTGTGTTTCATCCATGAGAACACTCTAATTCCTCTGCATCTCTGATCTCCACAATCTCTCACCATTTAAATAACTAGCTTATTTTTCTTCTTCTTGTCAAATAGGACAATTTTGCATTTTCCCACAATATATTTCATTTGCCATATCTTTGCCCACTCACTTAACCCATCTATATATTTTTGTAGATAACACAGTATGGAGCTGGAGGAACACAACAGGCCAGGCAGCATCAGAGGAGCAGGAAAGTTGGTGTTTCAGGTCGGGACCGTCCTTTCCGATCCTAAGACCCACTGTAGACCCATATCTTGTCATTATCCACTCAGTGAACATCACATGCAGGCAAGCATTCCATCAATTCCGAAAGTGAACATGAAGGGAATGGAAACTGTAAGTTGCCCTATAATACGAATTAAATTAAACATGCCATAATGCTTAGCTGTACCTAGATGTCATCTAGAGCTGGATGTCAATCTGGTCCTGCCTGGCACATAGCATCTACTGCTGCTGAGCTCTGTCATGCAGAAGGACAGCTTCCTCTCAAGTGTCCTCATCCTGTTCCTTAGAAAATTGTTCCCATTCCCCCAGTTCTTCAATATCCAGCACATCACCCAGTTGCCTGCTGAAATTGTGGAAGGATGGCAGGATGATATAGCACATTCTATCCAGACTATAATGAATGGCCCCCAATCAATCAAAGCAGCAGTATCATATCTTCAGAAGGTCTATCATCTGTTCAACCACAATTGAAGTCAAAGTACAGTCATCAGGTTGCACAATAGTGTCATGAAGTGTGATCATACTGGGTAAAAACCAAAAGAACTACAGATGTTGTAAGTCAGGAACAAAAACAGAAGTTGCTGTAAACTCAGCAGGTCTGGTAGCATGTGTGAAGAAAAAATCAGGGTTAATGTTTCAGGTCTGGTGATCCTTCCTCAGAACACCTCTGTTCTGAGCCGTGATCATAGTGGGTAGCCCTTGTCATCCAGTAACCAGCCTTGTGAAGCACCTGGACCATCAATGCATAGGTACACAAGCCTGCTCCACAATGCAGGAGTCATAGCTAAGGTAGCAGGCATGCACCTCCAGGAAGTGGTAACAGTGATCACAAATGACCTGAACGTTAATAGAAGAAACACCTTCCTATTGACAAATTCTGCAGCATTGTGATATGGCCTGACTTTGACACTGGGAAACAAAATGATCTGATGTGATAGGGCACAGATGACTGATGATATCTGTGCACTATCGTGATGACCGGGAGATTCCATGCAGGTCATCAGTTGTTCCTTGGAAGGTGGAAACAGCATAGAAGTTCAAAATAGTTTACACTTTCACAACCATTAGGAGAAGATGGTTTTCCATTCCTGCAGCTTTCAGGTCCTGCTCTACCACCTGACATTGTTCCATCACGGTGTCCTGGGATATAGAGAGCCTGGGCTGACTCTGCACCTTTCCCAGGAAATGGAGTCTTGTCCAAAAACACCGGTCTACCTGCAGACCCCACGTGTTGTAGCAGAAATACCTGTACTGTAAAACATGCTGCACCCAGATAATGAGGGCCATGTATCCATTATTCATTCAGCTTTAGCCTCAACATGTGCATCAACTTGGTGAATTAGCCATGCCAGCTTAGCGACAGATACATCTAAAGGGAGTGTGTGCTCTTCATAAGATAGCCCCTCCATGCCCAGTGTCAGGCTAGTGAACCTTCTTTTGAGTGCCTCCAATGCCAGTTTTTTTTTTCTCAAATAAGGGGCTCAAAACTATTCACTGTATTCCAGCTGTAGTCTGGCTGGTGCCTCATAATTTTGGCAAAGCTACCTACTGTTGTGCTCCATTCCCTTTCAAATAAAGCCCAACATTCCATTTGTCTTGCCTATTACCTGCTGAACTTGGATGCTAGCTTTTTGACATTCATGTACAAGGACTCCCAAATCCCTTGGTGCTGTAGTTTTCTGTAGTCTTACTTCATTGAAATAATATTCGAATCTATTCTTTTGATTTGATTTATTATTGTCACGTGTACCAAAATATCATGAAAAGTATTGTTTTGCGTGCTGACCAGACAAATCATACCTTGTGTAAGTACATCAGGGTAATAGAACAGAATGCAGAATACAATGTTACAGTTACAGAGAAGGTGCAAAGGAAGATCAACTGTGATGTATGAGAGGTCTGTTCGTAAGTCTGATAACAGCAGGGAAGAAGCTGTTCTTGAATCTCTTGGTATGTGTTTTCAAACTTTTGTATCTTCCGCCCTATGGAAGAAGGTGGAAAAGAGTATAACCGGGGTGGGAGGTCAGCTGCTTTCCCAAGACAATGTAAAGTATAGATGGAGTCAATAGGAGGAAGGCTGTTTTTTTGTAGTGGACTGGGCTGCATTCACAACTCTGTAATTTCTTGCGGTCTTGGGCAGAGCAGTTGCCATATCAAGCTGTGATGCATCCAGATAGGTTACTTTCTATGGTGCACCTATAAAAATTGGTAGGAGTCATTGTAGACATGTTGAATTTCCTTCCTGCCAAAATGCATGATCTCTCATTTTCCCACATTACGTTCTATCCACCAAATTTTTTCTCACTTAACCTGTCCACAACCTTCCTCACCACTTGCCTTTCCATTTTTGTTTGTCATCCACAAACTTAGCTATCGTATATTCCTTCATCCAAGTCACTAATTGTAAATAAATATGGCCCCTGAGGTCCCTTTTAAATTTTTCCCCTCTCACCTTAAACCTATGCCCTCTAGTTTTGGAATCCCCTACCCTGCAGAAAAGACATTAACTATTCATCCTATCCGTGCCCTCATGATTTTATAAAATTCCATAAGGTCATTCCTCAGCCTCTGATGCTCTAGGGAAAATAGCCTCCAACCTGCTCAAATCCTGCAACTCTGACAACATCCATGTAAATCTTTTCTGAACCCTTTCAAGTTTCACAACATTTTTCCTATAGCAGGGAGACCAGAATTGAATGCAGTATTGTAATAATAGGCTAACCCATGTCCTGTGCAGCTGCAACATGATGTCCTAACTCCTGTCCTCAATGCCCTGACCTATAAAGGCAAGCATACCAAGCACCTTCTTTACTTGCCCTATCTACTTGTGGCTCTACTTTCAAGGAACTATGGGTTTGGCAACACTCCCCAGGACCTTACCATTAAGTATATAAGTCCTGTTTGGATGGACCTTTATGATTGATAGTGGTCAAGGATGAACCGTTCATGAGGAGAGGTACTCACGATGCACTGTGTGGTATGTTAACATTAGGTACAAGTTGCATTGACTAAGTAGTCATGTTTACAAAGACTGTCAGCAGCCAAGGACGATATCTCCAGCCCTATTGTGATACATAACTGGACTCTTCACTTTCCTTTCCAGGATTGCATAGCATTATCAAATTGGGTGGAGGTTAATGCAATCTCCACCATGAACCATTTCAGAGCCATTGCCTTATTCCTCAGTTAAGGGAATAATTAAAGCGGTGGATGCAATGTTGAATAGTGAGGGGATAAGGGCTGGGTTGGGGAGGGTGTATGAATGTATTTCGGAGTTTATGGGTGAGTATCCCGGCGATGACTGAGGCTCGACAATTGCCATCTCCCAGTCCCGCCTCCCCTCTCATCTCCGTCTGTTCCCATTTTCCGGGGAGCCTTCGGCGTTACCCATAGCAACCCTATCGCGCCGGGCCGCTAATCGGAATGCTCGTTACTAAAGCCGCTAGCAGCAGCCAATTATAGTCCTGTTTGCTGGTGTGGGTCCTCTTCTGGTGGCGTTGTCCAATAGGATGATGGGTTGTTCCGAGGTGCTCTCGGTGCGGCGTTGAGTAACGGCCGGAGCGGGAGGCTGGTGAGTGAGAGGTGGCGTCTTTAAGAGAAGGAGTTGTAAACTCTTAGGGGTTAAGTTATGGGGGAGATTATACAAGTTAGGCCCGTTTTGTCTGGAATTTAGAAGGTTTAGGGGTGATCTGATTGAAGGTTTCAAGACGGGGTAGATAAAGATAAAGATAATGGTATCAATGTGGATTTCACAAGTTTCAAAATCTCCCCTCCCCCCACCGCATCCCAAAACCAGTCCAGCTCGTCCCTGCCTCCCTAACCTGTTCTTCCTCCCACCTATCCCCTCCTCCCACCTGAAGCCGCACCTCCATCTCCTACCGACCAACCTCATCCCGCCCCCTTGACCTGTCCGTCCTCCCTGGACTGACCTATCCCCTTCCTAACTCCCTACCTACACTCACCTTTCCTGGCCCCATCCCCGCCTCTTCGACCTGTTTGTTTCCTCTCCACCTATCCTCTCTTCTATCCGCCTCCCACTCTCTCCCTATTTATTTCAAAACCCCCTTCCCCTCCCCCTTTTCTGATGAAGGGTCTAGGCCCGAAACGTCAGCCTCTCTGCTCCTATGATGCTGCTTGGCCTGCTGTGTTCATCCAGCCCTGCACCTTGTTGTCTTAGATAAAGATAAATTGTTTTCGCTGGTTGGGCATTTTAGAGCGAAGGGGCATAATCTGAGAATTAGGGCCAGATCGTACAGGAGAGATGTTAAGAAGTATTTCTACACACATTGGGTGTTGGAGGTTTTGAACTTAAGAAACTGCAGTGGATGTAGGGTCAGTTGTTAGTTTTAAAACTAAGATAAATTTTGTTAAGGTATTAAGGGATATGGGCCAAAGGGCAGGAATATGAATTTAGGTCCCCAAATCGTCCAAGATTACCTTAAATGGTAGAACAAGTTTGAAGGGATGAATGGCCTGCTATTGTTCCTATGTTTCTCTTGTGTGTCTCCCCCTCTGCTTTCACTGGACATTTTTAAGGGAATGGGGTGGCAGGAAAAAACTGAGTATCTAAGAACGGAACCAAATTTCCAGTACAGGAGTTTTGGGGATAAAGAAGAACAGGACAGATATAGGGCTGAATTGATGCTTCATATATTTTTTGTGTTGTTGTTGAAGGCACATAACTTTGGATTGGTTTCCAGCTCTCCACCTTGCTACCCATCCCCTAGCTCTCCCCCATAATTTGGAAGGGGGAGATGGGTGTTGACAGGCACTGAATAATTGAATCAGTTGAACTTGGTGAACAGTTAGTTTGGGCAACCTGTTTTTAATATTGTGTAAGAGTGGGAAAGAAATGAGATTCTATTCTTGGTGGAGTAGGTGCCCTATGTGCATTGGGAACACTCCCCAAAAGACAGTAACGCCTTCTTCCCTTCCTGGACTTCAAATCCCCCACCCACAGGGTGTTCCAGATTGGTGGCCTAATGCTTCTGACTCATCTGGGTCCAGAATCCATTGGGTCCTTTATCCTAGGGCTTATTCTGACAGCATTCTTGGTACTACTTGAGCTTGCGACCAACTGGATTGGCCAACAGTTCCAGAAAGTGATGTATAAAATATTCTGCAAGCACATCAATAATGAGAAAATTGAGAAAGTCAAAAGAGATGTATAAAATATAATTAGAAATGGCAGAAACATTACATTGCATTACTAACTTTTACTCTCTTTTGTTTGACGAATGAGACTAATGGAGTGGATGAATTAGAAGAGGTGAAAAATGATAATAATATTTAAATGGGAAAAGGGAGAGAAAGTTGATAAACTAATCAAACTTGGATTAAAAATCTCATCACAGATTGCAAAATAAGTTAAGCAAAGGCACTTCTTTCTACAATGTCTTCATTAGAAAAGGGATTATTGTCAGAGGATTGGAGCCAGCTCAAGTTTTTATATTTTAAAATACAGTTGGAGCAAGTGCGAGAAGCTAAAGATCAGTTTAATGCTGAAGATAGGAAAGGCAATGGAATCTTTACTCAAATATTTAATTAAGAGATCTAGAAACTGAAAATATAATGCACAGAGGAAGGCCATTCAGCCAATCTTGTAATGTTTGTCAATCAAGAGTGAACAGCCAAATCCAGTTTTCTAACTCTTGGTCTATAGCCCTGTAGACTATGGAGCATCAACTGCATGTCCAAGTAATTTAAATGCAATGGGCATTTTTGGTTCTTTTTCACCTTTCTGCCAATTTCTTAATTTTCATACTCCCCAAGTAATTTACGTCTCTAATGGAATTAGATTCTTCCCTCCTTCATCTAGGCTTTTCAGAATATTGTATCTCAATCAAATCTTCACTTATCATCTTGCATTCTAAACAAGATAACCCCAGAAAAGATCAAGCTTGAAATGAAGAGGCTTAATGTGAGGATGGAGTCAATGCAAATTGCGCACACAGGACTGAAGTTCTTTGCAAGGCTAGATGTCATAATGTACATGGTAATCACTAATAAATTGTCACTATTCTGATGGGATGTGTCCTGGAAATAAAGCCCCATTATTCACAAGTCGTCACAAATATGAAATATGACCAATTTAATCACTAGAATGGCAACTAAACATTCAAGCATATGGTTCCTATTAAAAGAATGGGCAGAGGGAGCAAGGTTGCCTTGTTGGTAAAAAATGAGTGTAAGTAAAAGATCCCAACAAAAGCAGTGTTTTTCCAGTATCAGTATAAACATTTCTTACTTCCTTAATATTTTCAAAAGCAGATAATCTGGTTACCATTTTATTTCATTGCTGTTTATAGAACCTTGATAGAAATTGACTGTCCGATTTGCCTACTACTTTGAATTCAGTCACAAGATGTGGGCATCACTGGCTATGGTAGCATTTATCAGCTGTCCATAATTGCCCTAAAGAAGGTGGTGGTGAACTGCCTTCATGAGCCACTGCAATCCTTGGAGTGTATTATGCTTACAGTGCTATTAGGAAGGGAGTTCTAGCATTTTGACCCAGTGAGAGTGAAGGAATGGTGATACAGTTCCAAATTAAGAGTTTGTGGCTTGAAGGTGACCTTGTAAGTGGCGGTGTTCTCATGTATTTGCTGCCCTGGTCCTTCCAGTTGGCGGAGATCATGTTGGAAGCTGTTGCCTCAAGAGTCTAGGTGAACTGTTACAGTACAATTTGTGGGTGGTTCAGGTAACTACCATTGCATTAAAGGCAGAGGGAATTCATGTTGAAGATGTTAGATAGGGTGCTGTGGCCTGAATGGTGGTGAGCTTCTTGTATGTTGCAGGATCTGCACTCATCCAGGTAAGTGGCAAGTGTTCCATCTCACCCCTGATTTGTGCCTTGTAGATGACAGACTTTGCAGAGTCAGGAGCTGAGTTACCTGTCACAGAATCACCAATTACTGATGTGCTCTTAAAGCCACAATATTTTAGTATATGATCAATGGTAACCCACCAGAGTGTTGATACTGTGGGATTCAACATAATGCCATTGAATATCAAGGAGCAATGGTTGGATTATCCTTTATTGAAGATGGTCATTGCCTGACGCTCGTATGGCATGAATATTAGTTTTCACTTTACAACCAAAGTTGCATAATTGACTTTAGAGTCATAGGTATGTGCAGCATGGCATGGAAACAGAACCTTTGGTCCAACTCGTCCATGCCGACTAGATGTTCTAAATTAACCTAGTCCCATTTGCCAGCATTTGGCCCCCCTCTAAACCCTTCATTCATATACTCATCCAGATGCCTTTTAAATGTTGTAATTGTACCACCCTCCACCACCACCTCTGGCAGTTCATTCCTTACATGCATCACTCTGCATGAAAAATTTGCCCCTTAGGTGCCTTTTAAATCTTTCCCCTTTCACCTTTAACCTATGTCTTCTAGTTTTGGACTCCCCTGCCCTGATGAAAAGACCTTGGCTATTCACCCTATCCATGCCCTTCATGATTTTATAAACTTCGATAAAGTCACTCTTATCGAAGCCAGCCAGTTCAGCCTCTCCCTATAGCTCAAACCCTGCAACCTTGGCAACATCCTTGTAAATCTTTTCTGAACTCTTTCAACTTTAACAACATTTTTCCTATAGCAGGGAGACCAGAATTGAATGCAGTATTCCAATAGTGGGCTAACCAATGTCCTGTACAGCTGCAACATGACCTCCCAACTCCTATACTCAACTAACCAATAAAGGCCAGCACACCAAATGCCTTCTTCACTATCCTGTCTACCTGCAACTCTAATGAACTATGAACCTGCACTCTAAGGTCTCTTTGTTTGGCAACACTCCCCAGGACCTTATCATTAATGTTTAAGTCCTGCCCTGACTTTCCCTACCAAAATGCAGCACCTCATTTATCTAAATTAAACTCTATCTGTCATTCCTCGGCCCATTTGCTCATCTGATCAAGGTCCCATTGTACTCTAAGGTACCCTTCCTCGTTATCCACTGCGCCACTAATTTTGGTGTCACCTGCAAATTCAGTAACCATACCTCCTATATTCACAACCAAGTCATTTATATAAATGACAAAAAGCAGTGGGGCCCAGCACTGATCCTTGTGGCACGCCACTGGTCACAGGCCTGCAGTCTGAAAAGCAACCCTCCACCACTACCCTCTGTCTCCTATCTTCAAGCCAATTTTTATTCAAATGAATAGTTCTCCCTACAAGGAGAAGGTTACACGTGTTCTAACCTTGCTATAAAAATGAATTAATTGGGTTGCAAAATACTTTTTGAGATCCTGGAAATGGGAAAGGCACAATTTGATTGCAAGATTGATCTTTCCTTGTGACACTTTGCTCATGTTCAAGTTTTTTTTTCCAGCTGTTCATATTTGACAAGTTGACTGTGTTTTTGACAGGTTCACTGCTGAACCTCAATTCTGTCATGTTCCAATTTTTTCAATAATTTTAAAACTCCCCTTGTGTACAAGAATCAATTTAATTTTAAATGTTTTGCTACAAGGTATATTCCAGTTTTGATGGTTGCTATTTCTTTCAAGGTAAAATTGTGGCAGAATGTTTCTTACAGCATTTCTGCTTCGGAAAGGAATTCCAGGCAAACAGTGGATAGGAAAATACAGACGCCCTAGACAAATTACCTGGCAAATGAAGCGTAATGTAATTAAAAGACTGGAAATTGAAAGGGAGACAGAGTACTGGCTGAGCCGCCCCTGGATGACTGTAGAGCAGGAAAGAGGTCATGCAGCACAACGCAGAGCTGAACGTTGGGAGGCTTTCAAGAATGCCAAATCTGCAAACTTTCCTGAATCCAAATATATTGAAGAACATTTAAATCACTTGAATGTGACCAAAAAGTGGGGCATGTGAAAAATTTGGCAGAGGTCTCTTTTTTAATTATGTTGCCAAATTCACTGATGGGATTTAAAAAGTGCCTCCTGGTAATTATTGTGAATTCCAACTAGCAATAAAGTTGTGTGTTATGTATAATTATTTAATTTTGGAAATTGCCTGTTGTGTTCAGAGCAGTTGGGTAATTTTATGACTTGATAATTGATGATGGAGAGATTTACATTTCTATTCTACTTCCACTATCCCTTCTGCACCTTATACATCTATTCATGACCACTCTATTTAAATAGGCCAGAAAACTTTTATTAAAGAATAAGATTAATTCTAAAAGTGCCACTTTTATTTTCTTCATTCATACTTTCATACTTACACTCATTTCCTGGAAATGGCAGGAGTTCAGCTTTTGACCTGCATTTCAAGTACAGTTCTTGTTGGCATTTATTCCTTAAGCACTTGTTATAAGAAGAAAAACAGGGAGATTTGAAGATCTTCTTCCTGTTCCTCAATCTACCCAAGAATGCAATAGATTTTTTTATTTTAAATTCCCACTTGCAGCTCATCAAATTTATACAAATGAAGAATATCTTAGTTTGAATCTGCAGTCTGTGCTAAGATATGCTTAGTCAAAGCAGTATTCGGAGTACAACAAATGTCTTTAACGTGTCTACTCTATAGAAAACTGGTAGGAGTTTCTGCTTTGGATGAATATGCAGCAACCTCTGTTGGAAGTGTCAGCATTCGGCAGAGATCAACTTGCTGGATTTAACTGTCAAGGCACAAATGAATAATACCAAGGTTCTTAAGGGCGGTCAGGATCCATGGAATTGTGCCCTTATAAAGATGTTATTTCTTTCAAAAGTCATTCTGAAAAGCAAGTATTAATTTTATGGAGATCACCTTGTAGTGTTCCCAAAGCCTAATTTTATCAATATGCATCAGTTTATTCTCTGGCTCACTGTGATCTGCATAAAGTGTACAATTCACTATTCCTATTACTGGATGCTGATCATAGTATAGAAAATTACATTCAAAAGTACTGAAATCTAAAAAAATGTACAATTAATGTGTATCAGTTCTCATTTGTAAATTAAAATTTTATTTCAGAAGCATAGTTTTTTTTGCATCAACTGGTTATTTTATTCAATCTTGTTTCTTTGGGTCACAGGTCAGATAACATCTCAGTACATAATAGCCTATTAGAATGCATTATTTTAGTGCATGCTCTTAAAAGTTTTTGTGGGAATCCTTCCTTTGAGTGAAGTATTAATTTCCATCTCATGGTCTAGTTTAATATTCATTATATATGCTGTAAATAATTATTCATGTATATCCATCTGCTTCTGAGTGGGAAAGAGATCTTCAATAGGTCTTCCTTGTTCTATATATTTATCCATGTGGATCAGCAGTTTAATACCATCGACTAGCAACTGCACCAATTCTACTTCTGAGAAACCAATTCTATCAGCATTGGAAATGTCCCAAACTTCAGTTCCAACAGAAGCATCCGCAGCACCTACAGTACACAGTGACATAGGAGCAATTAGTAAATATAGCTACAATTTCAATGATTGTAATAGAGTCTATAGAGTGAACAGCAAGGTGAAATGAATTCTGTAAATACTGGTGTAATAATTAGAAATGTTGGAACTTCATTTGCTGTCAAGATAACAATGAGGCTAATGGAACTCAATTTATGCTGAGTTTTACAGCAACTGCAAGCGAGAAGCAGATGTACATTTAAATGCACAAGTGAGAAGTTCCTGTCCAAAATGCACCATTTCACCATTAATTTAATGAAAATGACATCAGTATCTCAACACTGAAATACACTAAGTTGGCGTACTTATGCAGTAGATACAAATTACTTGTCACTGAAAATCTTGTCTGTCTCTTACATTTTTAGAAGAGTACTTATTGTTAATTACTCCTAATCAACCTCTGGCACTGGCATAATAACAATGACAAGTACATGTTGCATTCATTCAGGTTTTAATTGTTGGGGATTTAAGTTTTTTTTACTTTGCCGTTGTGTACTTTCATTCTCCCTTTTCCATGTGCTGTTTCTGTACTGATTCAGCATTGTGTTTGCCCATTCTAATTTAAACTTCCTTCGCAGTCCTCATAGTGTTCATTTCACAATTCTTCAATTTGATTAGTTTGCTTGCTCTTTTCGCTTGGTCTCAGGAGCCTAATTTTCCCTCAGTGCTATTACTGGCCAGCACTTCCAGCAACGTGTAGCCTATAACATCACTGTGATCAAACGTGTTGTTTTACTGCAGCAAATTACGGCCCAATTTATCATCTAACCAGTTTTTGCTGTAAGACGATGGACTATTAGCAGATTTGGTCAAGCACTTTTTTTTCCCACCACAGGGACTTCTGGAGTTAGTTTCTAAGAATTTAGTAGACCTAAAAATGCACTGTTATGAAACAAAACATAAACTGACAAATCCATAATGAAATAAGCTCAAATTCTTTCCTATAGTATACTATTTCTGGAATATTTATTGTAATTTATTTCAGCAACTTTAAAAATATTGTGTTGTTCATAGTTGGTGCCCTGGTTTAGAGCTAAAAGATTTGCTGAGGAGCAGCACAAAAGCATTTAGAGTTGTTGCTTGATCCTGAAGTAAAAGAGCAGAATTCAAAGTAGGCATGTGGATGGAAAGAGAGTGGGAGAATTTAAAACAATCTGTCTCATGGGAATGGAGCAATTACATTTGGGGTCAGAGTCTAGAAAGCAATTTTAATAATTTAATATCCCAGTTGGAATGGCCAACAGCAGGACTGGCACTTCAGTGAATATTGGAGGATGTAGATATCTGAAGATGAGGTAAATATTAGCAGAGTAGACTGTAGGCTAGCCGGAAACTACTGACACTGCCTTACGTAGTCTGAGGAAGTGCAACTATAATGAAATACAGATTTTTTTATAAATTGAGGGAAAACTATTATGATGGATGACTGAAATCTTGACTAAAGAGTGGTCACGTTTAAAGTTGGAGGGTCGTTTAGCAAACACAGTTCAGAACTTAGGGTAATATCGAAGTACTAAAGGTGAGGTAAAGGCAATAGGGGTGTCTTAAGACACCAAAGTTGAAGCAAAATGAAGTTTCTGGGATTAGAAGAAGTTACAAAGATAGAAATTGGCCATGAAATGATTTAAACATGAGCATGAGAATTTTACCATAGAGGTGTATGGGAAATATACTTCCTGGTTGTTATTTGTGACTTTGAGGGGCTTGTTAATGCTTTTGCAAGGAAAGAATGCTGATCAATATTGAAATACAGTAATGGAGAAGGTCACAAGACTTAATCACATAGACGTAACTGTTTCTCAACAGGTGGTTCTAAAAGATAAAAGTATTCCAGTCAAGTTATAAGATAGGTAAAATTGCTTTACTGGAGAAACAAAAAGAAACAATTTGCTTGGAGAATAAAACGTATGTATCCCAGCTTTGTATACGTGCATGATATACCCAATATGCAAATGGGTATGTTAATATGTTGAGCAAGCAAAAATGGTACATAAACAAGACATCAGCCTCAGAAATGTAAAACTTTTAGGAAATGCATTTTCTTGAAATAAAATAAAGTCAGAAATTAGTATGTTATGATGATGTAGCATGAACTTGTCACGAGGTGTAGAAGTGTTAGATATTATTATGTGTTTGTTTATTGTCAATTTATTCAGACTTTGGTACCGCACACTTTTTGAACTCCATTGATTATTTACATTAGGGATATTGTATTGAAGTGTTTTGTTGTAATACAGTACCAGTAAGCTTCTTTTCTAAACGTAGTCTCTGCAAGATCTCGTCGAACTTCTGATGTTTACTGATGTATTTCAGTCTAATATGGACACTTGCACGCATACCAGTGCCAAGATCTGAAGGACAGGTTGACACATATCCTAAATTATCCTTCCAGATGAAAGGGTGTTTTTTCTGGTGGTATATTTCTTCAAGCTAAATCAAGAATTAGAGTTAGTTCTCCATTTTCCAAAGATGTATGGCTCAATGTTAGTCATCAACAAGTAGAAAAAAAACACAGCTCTCTCTAGGATACGAAGAACTGCAGATGCTGGAGTCAGAGATAACAAAGTGTGGAGCTGGAGGAACACAGCAGGCCAGGCACCATCAGGAACAGGAAAGCTGATGTTTCGAGCTGGGACCCTTCCCAATCCGAAATGTCAGCTTTCCTGTTCCTCTGATACTGCCTGGTCTATTGTGTTCCTCCAGCTCTACACTTTGACAGCTCTCTCTAGAGAGCCTTCTCTTCAAATACTAGACTAATTCTTAAATCCAGCTGAGAAATGGCAGTCGGGCTGTACATCGTCACAAATACAAGCACTCTCATATATGTCATTTTTGAGGGTATTACTAATCTTTTTACCACTAATCCCTCCTTGCTGGTGAGACTGGCTTCCCAGATTCTACCAACATCACACACATAGCTGCTACTCAATAGAAACTACAGCCTGGCAAAGAGTCTCCCTTGTCTTCTACTAGGAAATACCAAATAATGTGCTAGGCACAATGAAAAGGAAAGGAATAAAGCAATGTAGCTATGTATCTCCCCTCATTTGTGTTCTTAATTTTATTTCGATTTTAACTTTTTTCTGTCACATACACCAATCCAAATGGAGAATACTGAAGCTTCATTTAGCAAGTATCTAGCCAATTCTTGGAAAGTGCAGAAGACCACACCGACATAATTTGCCTAACCATTCCAGAGAGTAAACATATGACATTGCAGACATTGCAGGCATTTCTGCAGATGGAAAAGATGAAATTGGAAACATCATAGAAAATTTCTTGTATCCTAATGTTGACAAATTATGCACGTTCAATTTTATTTCAGTTTTCCAACATCTGCAGTATCTTGCGATTATTTTACATTCGTTTGGTCTTTTTTGAAAATGAATGTAATGAGAAAATGAAAGCAACTGCATACCTTTTTAAGACCAAAACAATAACGTGTAAAAACTTGTTTCACATTTCCACCATCCTGAATGGAAGTAATGCGAAGATGGTCCTCTTTATTGACCCACACAATAAAATTCTTCATATCATTGTGCCTGTGGAAAGTAAATTTACCATTATGTATGTGATGCCAAGTTTCTTTGAAATTCAATACCCCCTTC